ACCTCAACCAAACCTAACCTAACCTCAACCAAACCTAACTAAACCTAGCCTAACCTCAACCAAACCTAACTAAACCTAGCCTAACCTCAACCTAACCTAACTAAATCTAACCTAACCTCAACCTAACCTAACCTCAACCAAACCTAGCCTAACCTCAACCAAACCTAACCTCAACCTAACCTAACTTAACCTAACTTAACCTCAACCTAACCTAACCTAACTTAACCTAACTTAAACTCAACCTAACTTAACCTCAACCAAACCTAACTTAACCTAACTTAACCTCAACCTAACTTAACCTCAACCAAACCTAACCTCAACCGGCCTTAACCTAAACCACACATAACTAAACCTGAACCAAACCTGTGAGAGGAAACTGTAGCACTTGGAGGTTTGTTTTGGTGATGATTTGGAAAGGTTCTGTTAAATTAAAATCATACTTCAAAAAGAGGTATGGCTAAACGTGTTTAATAGACTGACAGGTGTCTCAGCCTATCACAGTCAGCAGGCTTGTCACACCTCGGGCTTCCTCCTCTTTGCCCAAACATAGATTTGAATAGTCTGCAGGGTGAATATTAAAGGTAGCTGCACAGAGGACTTCCTACTGGATCTGATCTGGTGTAGTTTGGCCCGATGCGGTGTGCAGTCATACAATCCAGTGTGCTGTTCTCTGAAGGAGGTGCAGGTCCAGGAGGAGGTGAGCAGAGAGCAGCAGGTCAGTGTGTGCAGACAGGGAGCAGAGCAGGAGCTCACTCTGCTCCTCAGCCCAGGACTGGAGGCTCAGCAGCTCACTGTGCAGGATGGTGAGCATGCACGCACACACACACACACACACACACACACACGCCATGTTTGTTTATTTAGAGAATGGCTGTAGTAGTGGAAAAAGTGTGTGCCAAAAGTGCAGTGTTTGGATAAAGCTGAGGACCCAACCAGAGATGGAATGTTGGAGTCCTGATGACAGCTGATCATTAATAACATCATGTGAAGTTAAAGCTGGTCAGTGGTGGAAGATGTATTATATTATCTATTACTGGTGAAAGTACCACAGTGTTGAAATACTCTATTACAAGAAAAAGCTCTGCATTCAAATGTAGAGAAATATAAATTGTACCTGAATATTAAAAACTAAATGTATGATGCAGAGTGTTCTATCATTAAATATCATACCATTGGATGATTAGGTTTTAGCTGCTCAACATGGAGCTAACTTTAACTCCTGCATAACAGTGTATCATGTTTTATACAATGGTCATTAATCTCCATCTTAACCAGTAATTGTGTAAGTATCAATTAATTATGGAGACCTGAATGTCTTGAATAAAAATGTGTGAAATAAGTGAAACATGTATAAAGAACCCTCTATGGTTCTAGTTAGCACCTTTATTTCTGGTGTCTCAGATATCGGTTCCTGTGTGGTTTAATTAAAGCAATATGTTTTCAGCCAACAGAGCATCAGTCTTCCAGCTCACTGTTTCCAAGGAGATGGACTGCTGCCAGGTCGGAGGACAGTCCTTCCTGGTTACCGTCGGCAAACAGAGTCTCCTGCTGCAGTTCACAACTCCAACTGGTTTGTACATACCTGCTTAAGTTCACACTGCTTATGATCCTGGGGTTCAGGACTTTAACCTAAAACATCATGTCCTCTCTGACTCTCCAGATATGAAGAACTTCCAGCGGTTATTGAAGAGAGGGGATGATGAAGAGACTAGGAAAGGTTGCACAGAAGGAGATGAGAGGGGAAACAAGGATGTAGAGAGAGGCCAAACAAGACATCCAAGTACTGAAAATGGCTCTACACAGGATTACCAGGTAGACTCAGTAGTTCTGACTTTGCAGGTGTAGGTATAAAGAGATACTTGAAAAAGAACTTCAAACTGTTCATTGTTGTGTGTTTAGTTCCACAGCTGTCTGTCCCAGCATCAGAACCTGCTTCAGGACTACCTGAGGATCACCACCTACCAGAGAGCCATTCTACTCAATGAGAGTGACTTCAGAGACAAGGTGACAGCGTGTGTTCACATGTTCCCCAAGACACACATCAAACTCCATCCAATTCACTTATAGAGGCGTAAAGTTATGCATAATTAATGACGTTGCTCAGTGTCTACTTGTGCTAAATGACATCGTTGAATCTTTCCGGTCAGTACGTTACAAACAAGCCTTTTTTTCGCGAGCCAAAATTAGCATGCCAATTATTATCACATTAAACATGAACTACTGATGCACCTTGATAATCAAGCCAGCTAGCTTCTTTTTTTTTTAGGCCTAGCTCCTCCATAGCTCCACCCTGTCGTCCAAATGTGGTCACTTTTGGTGAAAAAAAAAAAAACAACAACCAAGAAGGCGACGACCAAAATGCCAAACCTGAGGCTTCAAACCGGCAGTCCACGAACCAATGGGGGACGTCAAGAGGACTACGTCCACTTGTTTAAACAGTCTATGGGACAAAGCTGTACTACATTTTTCCGTACACACCATTTGGGGTTCAGCATACTGAAAGATCGTTCAATCAGCCAACCCTCCAAACAATGGTCTACCTTACTATAATACTATGTCACCTAAAAGAAACAGGTCATAGGTCGTGAACCTCAGTCAGACGAGGAGACGTGTTGTAAACAGGTTAGTGGTCACAAGTTATTTGTGATGTAACAGTAAGTTACCATCACAGTTTACAGACCCACTTCCTGCTTCAACTGCTATTTGTTCTAGTGATGTCACCATGTTCCCACATCTCCCAGAGAACAGTTACTCTGGTGAGTATAATGTGATAATATGTCATAGGAATAATGGCAAAACTTTAAAAATATGACCCAATTTGTGATAAACTAAAATTTTCATTTTAGTTTTTCCATTAAAAAAACACTTTGGGGAAAATGGAACCAGAATGTAAGCTAATATAATTAGCAAATAAACCAACCAACAGTAGCTGCTGATACTACATGAATCCAGCTCTGCTTTTGTGTGGATAAAAGTGGTTTTATCCACACAGATACACTGAAGTACTGGTTGTATGAGGGTTAGTGTTTCTTGTTGTTGGACCTTATCATAATAATGTTGTCATGCTACTTTAGTGACTACACTATCATCATAACCCACAGAAATGATGACCAAAAGTACAAAAAGACTTGGAATGATCATTTAAAATACTTCCTGCAGTTCAATGCTTCCAAAATAAAGAAATGTAGAAAATAAATGATGGGGGGCGGGGCCTAGTGGTCTACGACTCATACCAGCTAACAGCAACCTCCCCGCTTCAAATCTCTCAGAGACGCATGTCGTATATGTTTTGGGAGTGCATATGTATTTAGTTTGTTCTAACCAGCCCTCCCTTTCTCTTCCTGTCTCTGTAGGTGGTTCTGGATGTGTGTTGTGGTTCTGGAATTCTGTCTTTCTTTGCAGTCCAGGCAGGAGCCACCAGAGTGTATGCTGTTGAGTCCAACCCGATGGCCAAGTACACACAGGTCATCCTCCATCTTTGTCATTATAATGTCACCTTCATGATGGCGTAAGCTCTAAAGCTCACATGCTTTAAAACTCTGCAGGAAATACACTTTGACTGAATCTCCCATGCAGATTTTTGGAGAGCAATATTATGTGTCTGCTGGCCTTGATAGAATCTAAAAGGAAACCACAGCAACGCACTAAACGCACTCTCACACACATAGAGTACATACATCACATGCAGAGCGTGGCATACTAGGGAGTTAATGGGTTGCAGCAACATCTGGCCTGATGTTCAGAAGGATATGGGCTGCAGCAGACAGATGCTGCTGCACACAGTACTGGGTTGTACCTGCCTTCATAGGAATATTAAACATTAACATGGAGTCAGGTTTGCCTGCTCCACAGCAGGTAATCTGATGGAGTCCAAAAAGACGGTTTGAATGGATTTCTATACTTCTAGTTTTCTTTTTCCAAAGATAATCCACAGAACTGTCCCCTGTTTTTATTGGAAAGTCTTTCTGAAGAGTTTTCGATTCTGTGGACACCACAAACTCAATGATTTTGACCTCTAATGTATTGGGGTGGAAATCTCAGAGAAAGATCTCTCGAAAAGTGAACAAATGGAACGAATGGTTTATGAATTTAAAAATGTTCCCATAGACAACAATGCGTGTCGTCAGAGCACACCTACGCTTGAAATGATCGTGCTTTGTTCTCAAAGTGTTCTGAATTGGCTCCCACTTAAATTCCTGCCTCTGACTGGCTTCTTCTCCATGGCAACGGCAATGACGGAGGCACTTGACCATTGTAATATTTTGAGCAATCAACCATGCCAAAATGATGGACGAAGCTTAAAAATTGTCCAGAATACAAAACCGACAGGATTGCTTCATTATCTGGGAGACTTCTGTGTTTCTATGTTAAGCACCATAGAGGATAAATGAACTCTATGGCAGCAGCATCCGAAGAAGATAACGTGGTGTTTCTTCTTCATCTTTTACTGAACTCATCGATGTTGGCAGTGAAGAGAGCATAGAACGGCTTCAGTTCCCCGTCAGAAGGGTAACACGGTGACAATATTCCGAATATTCCAACATTGAAACGGATATTCTTCTTAGAAGAATCTTCTTCGGTGTCTAAAATACGTTTTGCTGCTGCCCCCCCCCCCCCCCCGCCCACAGCAGTACATGGCTTTGCTCCAGTGCTGGTCTGTTCCTCCAAACTAGGGAAGTGCCAACCTAGTTCAGGTAAAACACAGACTGTGGATAAGTACCTAAAAACTATCCCTTTAAAGGGAAAATTCACCCTGTTTCATGTGGATGTCTAATCAGTGCTGATGGTAAATGTCATCCACTGAAGAAATACATTCTCTAGTGCTGCTTTATTGACAGAGAAAGCTGATCTCTCCTGCTGCCGCTTGTGCCCACAAGTACCAGGATGCACTGCACACCAATGGTGTTTTTACTTCTACAGAAAGAACTCGCAAAACGTCAACGAGGAAAATATTCTTACACCTAACCCGACACCTGCAGCTCTCACTCCTTCTGAGTCTGAATGTAAGAGTCAGCCAAAACGCTGTAAAGTCTATATTGTAAAATCTACTCTTTAAATATATACTCTGAAGTCTACACTGTAAAATCTACACTTTAAATCTACAATGTAACAAATCCTTGTCCATAAGATCCTCTACACTCATATTTTGGGATGCCATTTTCGCTGTTGGAAACAAGAACAAGCAGGAGAACAAGGATGTTTTTCAGCGGCATTGCGCCCCACAGACACCAGAACTGGAGCGTCCCTCTTTTGTTCTTTAGGATGATAAGTCAGTCACTGTCATGCCGCTGGTATACGGAAAGAACAGCAGATTTTGCAGCCGCGCCCCAGAGACACAGAGAACATTAGTAACACCTGCAGGCGTGTTTCACACTAAATAGCCAACTCGGATAGGTAGAGATGAGGTTAAAAATCAGTGAATTGTCAGTGAAGGAAGTTGTATTCTGATTGGGCTCTTATTCAGATAATTACTGTAATTAACGGCTCTGTGTGAACAGCTAATCATGTGTCATTTAAATAAAAGGATGGAATTACTGGCTGGTTGTAGTGGTAAGATTGGTGTTTGGCACAAATAACAGCAACTGGAAACCTGAAATGACTTCCCTCTCCAGATGTTCATCGCTGTAGGTCTGGTTGTCCAACAATGAGACATTTCCTGCCTTCTCCATACAGCGTGGTCCAATGTATTTGTCATGGTCTTATGGGGGAAATGGGGATGCGTTAGTAGCTATGTTGTCTTACAGTGCACATGTGTCTTTCTCCTGTGCAGATCCTGGTCCAGAATAACTGTCTGTCTGAGCGGATCAGGGTTCTAGAAGGGAAGGTGGAGGAGGTCAGCTGTCCCGACATGGTCGACGTCATTGTCTCTGAGCCAATGGGATACATGCTACTCAATCTAAAACTCATGGAGAGCTTCTTGCATGCCAAAAAATGGCTCAGACCCAATGGTACTCAATGGACTCAATGGACTCAATGAGTAGAGAAACATTCAGGGATGCAGAGGACATAACCTCAGTCACTGTTTACCCAAAGTGTTGACATGACAGTGAATAAAACTAATACATTTTCATTTTAGTACTGATGTAAGTTATTAGGTCCCAATTAAGGTCCCAATCTTGAGGACTGTCTTGTGTAGGGGGCCTATGGTAAACTCTAGTTTGAGGAGGGGAATTACTTGGGACTAGTTTGCATTGACTTGGGTCCTGCTTTGGGACTTACCCGTCATGACTAGGGACAAGTTTGTGATGACTTGGGACTTTCTTTGGGAATTTCCCATGTTGACTCTGCACTTTCAGGTATTGACTTGGGTTTTGACTTGGGACTTGTTGGTAGTGACTTGGCACTTAGAACTAGAATATCCTTTTTTGACCTGGGACAGCTCATTTCTTCCCCAAGGCCCTCAAAGGGGTTACTCCAGCTGTTTACCTCGTCAGTCTAAGCGTCTGCTTGTGTCTCTGACTTTACTTCTGTCTCTGTTTACTGTCACTGTTAGTTTAGCTCTCTGTCTTATTTGCCCTTTATGTGTCTCTCTCTCTCTCTGTCTCCAGGTCTGATGTTTCCCTCCTATGGTGATATTCATCTGGCTCCTTTCAGTGATGAACAGCTTTACTTCGAACACTACGCACGAGCTAGTTTCTGGTCTCACACACACACACACACACACACACACACACACACACACAAGCATGTATAGGCATAAATCCATGCATGAGGACGCAAACACACTGGCTCCCTTTCTTTCCCCCTGTCTCCGTCTCTCTCACAGAGACACACATGTTCCTCAGTCAGCCATGTTTCCTGTTGGGTGTTAAACGCTCGAGTTCAGTCCAGTCCTGACTCATGCAGGGGAACCAAGAAACTGACTGCTATGAGCTTTTGGAGGCCGATAACTTGGGGTTAAAGCTGATGTTATGTGCCATTGATATGATTACATTGTCCTCTCAGTCAGCTGAATGTTTTTGTCTGACAGGAAATGACGCCTAAATGGAGAATAAGTGGTAGGGTTGGCCTGGGCCATTAGTCAAATTTTACAGTACATGCAATTACATTTTTTGCAACCAATGATTATGAAAACAAGATATTCAAGATAAAAAAAGTTAGAAAGATCCCCATCCAACCACAGCGTACAATTGATTGACTACCATGTATAAATCTTCAGGTATATAGAATGTTACTATATTCTATCAAAACAGGATGTTACAGTATCATGCAGAGAGGACCCTGTCAAGAGCCTCATTCAGGCTGAAAAATACAAGTCATCTGTGTAACAGTGAACCAGTATTCTGGCCTGAACAGCTGCTACACCTGGATATAGTGATGCAATGAACATAACCGAGTTCACCAAATGGGATAGACATGGAACCCACAGTGATACACAGACATGAAGATGAGAAGCATTTCTGTTTGACTCACTCATTTGTTTAGTTCCACAGAATATTTCTTCTTCTTCCACAAAAGTGGAAAAGATATATTCTGCTGTATCCATGTTTTCTGGAAAATCTGTGCAAACAATACAACATCTGCTGTACAGTTTGTTTGTGCACAAGTGCATGCAAGCATGCCAGCGTGTGTGTGTGTGTGTGTGTGTGTGTGTGTGTGTGTGTGTGTGTGTGTGTTCGCTGCCATGGTCTGTGCCCTTCACTGCTCCTCCACTATGTGTGAAAGTCAGGCTCATTCAGCCTTGAGGAATGAAGGTAAACTATATACTGATGCAATTAGCAACATTACTGAGGAAAAAACATGAAGTTATTGGTTCATCGACCGTTGCAACATCATCTACGTTACGACCCTCACGTGTGGTCGTTGGCTTTGAGTAGTGACCGAAAGAATGAGATTGTGGAAAAAAGCGGCCAAAGACGGCTTTACTCCTTAAATCTGTGATCACTTCACAGATCGGTGAAATCTGTGAAGTGATTTTAAAGACGGATAAGTTGGTTGCATTCAGGATATGTAACCTTTGATGAGACCTCCAGCATCCCAACAGGAAAAAGTTACCTGAGTCACAGTAATCATCCTCAATATATCCTTCCATCACATACTGTACACAGAGTGGCACTCGGCTAAACGACACGAGAGGCAACTCCTGATAAATCCAACAAACATGTAACAGTATCCACAGGAACCACAGTAACAGCAGAGACTAAAGAATGATTTGATCATTTGTTGAAAAAAGGAATCTGCTCATGAACCTGTGTCAGTTAGCTGACTGACTTCTCTTCTCTCTTCAGGCAGCAGAGAGGCTTCTATGGAGTTAACCTGAGTGCTCTCCACAGTGCTACAATGGAGGAGTTTTTCAGACAGCCGATAGTGGTACGTGTGGCACAACTCGGTAACCTTCAGTGTAAAGAAAGGAAATGTTAGATTTCAAAGTCTGTAAAGACACTAAACAGATGTGTAGAATAATGCAGAGGGCATCTAAAATATTCCCCAGAAGGAAAAATGCCCCAACTCTAAGTATGGCTAAAATACAATAAAACATATGTATATACTGTATATTTAAATTAAATTTCATTTTCAGATTCTTTATTCGTTGTCTGTTTCAGGACTCATTTGATGTTCAGATCCTGATGGCCAGGTCTGTCAAGCACTGCATCAACTTCATGGAGGCTAAAGAAGAAGACTTGCACAGGTTAGATCCATAATCATGATGCATGATGAGGTGTTATCGGTAAAACTGGATTTTAATCAGTGCATTTAGTAACTGTATACACATTTAATGAACACTATAATGCACCACAGATGCTCATCAAGCAATCAGCACTATTCTGATGTCCTTTCATGGTAAACACTTCCTGTTTGTTGAAAGGGGCTTTAGATGCCTCTACTATAATAACGTATTAAGTCCACTAACAACTACAAATGTGTGCTGAATCAGCAGAACATTGAGAGGAAATGAAATGGCGTACTGCCAGAGCTGTTTGATTGACACATGATAGTGAGTCTAGGACCTGTTTGTTTCTTCCAGAATGGAGATTCCCTTTGGGTTCACACTGCTGCAGTCCGGTCTGGTCCATGGACTGGCCTTCTGGTTCGATGTGGCCTATAGAGGATCCAAGTAAGAGATGCACAACAGTTGATCCACAGTGGTCGAAATATGTGAAGAACACACAGACAGACAGACAGAGATGCCTTGCTTTATAAGATGGACTGTACATAAGAAGTGGACGTAGTTGCCCATTAGTTTGTGGATTGCCGCTCTGAAGCCTCAAATTCGACATTTTTGCCGTCACCATCTTGGCTTTTTGTAACAGTGAACAGGAAGTGACCATATTTGGACTGAGAAGTAACGTAGAGACGCCGTATACGGCTCTGGTAGAGACCTGTCAATCACAAGGTAGCCCCGCCCTAAAGCATCCCCTGCTTTGTGGTCTATTTTCTCGTAGACTTCTATACAATCAGACTTATATTTGAAACCAGAGGAGTTTCAAATATAAGTGCTGGCCATTAGAAAGAATGCAAGTTTAAGACACTTACGCATTGGCTTCACTCTTCAGAACCGGAGGCTGGTGCCTGCTTTAGATGTACTAGTGACCCCTCCTCTCCCTCTCTGGGCCTCTGCAGGTCAACAGTGTGGCTCTCCACAGCTCCCACGGAGCCTCTGACCCGCTGGTATCAGGTCAGATGTTTGCTTCAGACGCCGCTCTTCGCCAAGCTGGGACAGACTCTGTCTGGGACGGTCCTGCTGGTCGCCAACGACAGGTACAACTGTACTTCCATCAAGCCCGGTCTTCATAATGTTCCCCCTGAAGATCCTTGAGTGGGACGGGAAACATAGATCGTCTGTCCAGCTTTATAACGGCAGTCTCCTTGCTACTGCAGCATTGTTTGCTTCAGAACAGTTCCAGATCAATCAGTCAATAGTGAACACCCTCATGATTTATGTCTGTGACCTGCGAGTGTAACTTTTTCCACATCCCAGGCAGAGCTATGACATCAACATCACCGCCACAGTTGACCAATCAGGCTTCAGATCTGGAAACGTCCTGGACCTCAAGGACCCCTTCTTCAGGTTACTCCTTTTCCCTCTGATACATCTAACAATAAGACCAGATGCTATTCTATTCACATTGACATGTCAAAGGAAATTCTACTTCATATTGACCGTGGATATGTTGACCCCGTTGGTTTCCTTTGGATTATATACTGTATGTTGTTGCCAGGTTTGAATAAGTCTGACTGGTCCCTCCTGGACTGTTTCAGAAAGCAGGTTTAACAACTCTGAGCCTAACCCTGAACTCTGAGTTTAATAATCCTGAGAAGGAGAACTCTGAGTTTTCGGTTCGAGAGCATCTGATTAGAGTTTATTCCCCCTGAGTTAAGCTCGTGCTTTGTAAAGAAAGAAAGTCATCATCATTGGTGCCATGGTGTTAACAGACCCAGAGTTTAAGTTAACTCTCTTTCATCTCAGGGTTAGTTTTCTTTCTGAAACACATCTTGTAGCCTACTCATCAGCTCCGAGTTGCTTTATGAAACAGGTTGGTTCCGTTTGTTCAGTCCATTCAACACATGCTTGTCTTCCATGAAACAGCCCTCTGGTGAGAAAAACACGAAACATTTGAATGACAAGTGAAACTGTGTGCAGGACTCCATTTTGTTAGAGAGCCGCAGACCGTTGGCCACCAGGAGGTCCAGGCAACGAGGCCTTTCTCCTCCAGGACAACACAGGTGACCCTTGAACTGAGTCAGAGCAAACATGAGCCTCGTGCACGTTATGGAACGACCAAAACATGCACAGAGAACAGCTTCCTGGAGAATCCACTAGAGGGCAGCAAAGTGCCAAAAATAAGATCTACTGTAAAACACCCACCACAAATAAATATACAGATGATGTGGAAATTAAGCACATCTTACATTTTTCATGTCAAATTAAATACTGATTAATTTGAATTTCGTTGAGATAGTACATTAAAAACATGGTCAACATGGCCAAGGGCCGTCCTGCACACATATGATTTGTTTTACTTACTGCAGTATTATTCAAATTCAGTTTACACACTATGTTAATAAGTATGAGATTATTGTTATTATTATTTACCATATGTCTCTCTTTCATCTCAGGAACCTCATCAGGAATCACCAGATGTCACACCTCCACACAAGACAACTGACATTGTTTGTTGTTGTTGTTGTTGTTCTTTAATACAGTTTGTCAACAAAACATCGGTGCTGAATGTAAAGCCCTAACGAATATTAAATGTGACATCCTTTTAGTATGAAGTTCAGATTTTGTATCTGTGTATCATACACATTCATAAACAGACCTCACAATGTGGTTAAAAAACACATAAGCATGTACAAGGAAACTGGAAACTATCATTTCTATAGCAGCAGTTTTCTCTGTGAACATATTTAATATTCCATAATAAAACTTTTCCCTCACAAGCCGTTTTAATGGGATTCATGTTTCTGTTGACACACAGTGTAACGCAGAGCTGTATAGTATACTATACTTTGTAGTTTGGGGCAGAACATTAACTTACTGTGTGGAATGTGTTTAACTACATCACAACAAAAGCACAGAATTATGCTTATTCACTTTTTTTTCAACAACCGAAGGAATAGAAATGTCTATATGTGTGTGTAGTTCCAAATAAATCTGTAGCAGTACTTTGCAATAACTGTGCCTTTAATTTGAAAACAGCACACCGGAAGTGCTATAGTTGTGCTAGCTAGCTAGCTAGCGTGAGCTAACAGTGGCGAGCTCAGGCGTGGTATAAGTCCGCTACAGTACAGTGCTGTAGCCGAGACGTATGTTGCGCCTATGTTTTATCATAGTAATACAATGATAACACAGGGCTCCGTAGTCTGCGCCAAGATGGCAACAACTTTATTCCTCTCAAAACACAGAACACAGTAGCGCATTTTCCCCCTTTCTCTTCTTCCGCTCTAGCCTTCACAGTAAAAGCCCCAGACACATACACTGGAACACTGTTTCCTAGAAAGTTGGAATTTACCAGATGCAACACGTTTGGCCAGTCTTCATCACACTGACGGGTTTTAAATGTGTCATGGTCCCTGTACCAGAGTACATGTCCCATCATGCTTTCAGCACTGGCACAAGTGGACAGAGAAAAGATCCACCAGTGGATCAGCGAGCTGTCCGGTCCAGAGACCAGTGAGAGCGCCCTGCTGGAGCTCAGCACGAAGAGGGAGTCCGCACCCGAGCTGGCTCCCACGCTGTTTACCGTAGCGGACCTGCTGCAGGTGAGTCGGGCCAGTGTTTTCCACCCAACTCGGGTTACACGTGCTGGAGTCCCGCCAGGTTAGACAGGAGAGGCACTTACACACAGTCGGTGCATCTGTCCTCTCAGGCGTTATCCTCCAAAATGAAATATTCTCTACCATTGCTAGGAAATCTATAACATCTACCCATCTCTGATAGAGGAATCATATGCACACAGCTTATTATTTAGACCAGTTCAGCCTCTTCACTTGTTCAGCTTTTTGCATAAACCACAGCTGGTCATGCTCATGAGACTAGTCCTCATATGGCACAATCCCACATGATTTATGTAACATTCTCATTATATTTAGTTTGTGACGCACAGCAACAAAATACATCAGATCTCACAACATGCCATATTGCTTAATTTAATCCATGTCCATATGATTCCCTATAGTTTTATTATCATGGTATTAATGCAGACATACACATTAGAATGTGGATTATATGACACTAATCATGACTCTGAATCTCCTCATTTAAAGGAATGCTTGACCCCAACGTGTTGCCTTGAATTCTTGAAGGAAGTGTAGTTGAGACCAACAGTCTGGAGACAAAACCTCAGACTGCTTCCACAGAGAGGATGTCAAAATGTTCATAGGTCAATATGTTCAGTATATGATATGTACCCCCCCCCCCCAATATTGTGAACCTGTGTGGGCACTTGGAAATGGGGTTCGTCTCCTCTTGTGCAGAGCCAGCGAAGCTCTGCGCCAGTGTCTCCCCGACCAGCTCAACAAAGTCATTCACATGTGTCGCCTCATGCTCTGTAACATATTTACACGTCCACAATAAATTGGTGCTCCACAAGTAACAGCTTGAGCACCCTCCTTCTGCTGCAGTAGCCCTGCCCTCTGTGTTCTTGATCTGAGTATTTCAGTAATGTTCTGGAGACCAGAAGCTGTTTGTACATCAACATTGGCGCCTTCTCCAGCAGTATTATTATAGTATTTAGAATTCTAAGGGTGGTGATGGGCGGTTGAAGCTTTGGGGTGTTCTTTTTATTTGTGCTGAAAAAGAGAGGAACATTATTAATAAATGCATTATCCAAAAGAAAATAAAAAGGTACCATCTTGGTGTAGTTTAGACTCAGTGTCCGCTGTGTCTCATCTCTGATATTTATGTTACATGTTATATAATTAGCTAACCCGTTGTAACAATATGAGGCTTGATTCTGATGCAGGAACCACAGAAGCTGGATGCCTAGTGGGGGTGAGTGGACCTGAGGACAACCCGGAGCTTCATCCCTGTCCTCAGGAGTCACCAGGGGAAGCTTTATGTGTTCTTGGGTTAGTGGGTTGGTGCTCCATTACGAGGAATCAATGGTCCAGTGTTTGGGATTTATAGAATATAGCACTCATAACTATGTTTTCATTAGTGCTGCAGGGATGATGTATTCTTGTTTGCCAACAGGAAGTTATAGAAGACGTCCTAATTAACTTGGTGGGAGGGTGTAGAATGGGCCAGAGAAGAAGCCATTACATTAAGGAGTGGATGTAGTGTAAATGACTTCAGGTCACTTATTGTAGAGGTGGCTGCTGGGTACTGTAGTTTGTCTCTCCTGAGAGGAGGTCATTGTGAGGGAGCCCCTCCATTTTAGTCTTGGCTCGCTGTGTGTAATCTGAGCTGGGAAGCTGATCTGAAGCTGTGGATTATTAATGCCTCAGAACCTGAGCAGGGAACACAGATGAAGACCACAGAGAGAATATTAATATTCACAACTTCTGAACGTATGAGTGTGAGCTCTCCGCTGGGATGTGATGGAATGTCAGCGATGACTGCAGAGGTGATCTGGGGTCAGTTTGTTAATGTGATGGCGAACCCCCCTGCTGTACTGTCCCCGTGGCCTGCTGCTAAACTGGCCTGATCAAAGTTTGATGAGTGCGGCTTAGTAACATTACACGGGACAGACAACACTGTGGAGCTCTGCTGGTCCTCCACCTGATGGGATAGAGGGGGTCCAGGACCAGATCTGGTCCGACATGAGGACATAAAGGGTCTTTGGATCAGATGCTGGGAGGGTCTGGTCAGACACAAGGCGCACCACTCTGCTCAGAGAAAGCAACATTTGTAACTCAGATTTCTTTATGTATGACAGTTTCCCAAATATTATATTTAAAAGAAATCCCAAGATATTGAATGGTAACTGTATCGTGATGCTTATTGTATTGCCAGATTCTTGCCAATACACCGTCCTCCTCTCCTCGTCCACGGGACGTGATGAGGATACAACTCTCAGAGTAGTAAGAAATGCTAAGCGGGGCCAAACAGCTGATCGAGCAACAGGACTGAAGGGATTTGGAGAGAGAGAGAGAGAGAGAGAGAGGGATCCGGAGGAGGGGGGGAGGAGGAGGGGGGAGGGGGCCAGGTGAGCGTCACAGAGAGGACACTCTGGCTTCAGTCGTCCTCCATCACTGCAGCTCGGCATGCAGAGGGACGGCAGCAGCTCCCGGGCCATCTGATCTGTTCCAGCTCTGCAGCACCGACCGGGACTCAGGGATGATCCTGCAACAGGTCAGACTCACACAGCAATATGACAAAAGGCTTCTTTTTACTTTACTTATGAAGGTACGACCCTTCCGTGAACAGCCAGTGATAGTTGGACCTTCAATATGTGCGGATGTATGACAACAGTAAAAGAAGAAATCATAGGAATATTCAGCACAATTTGGCTTTTTAAACACTTCGTTAGGAAAATGTAGGACGAGACAGAAAACCAGACAACACTGTCGAGTGAATTGCTAATCTGTCTGTTTGCTAACAGACAAAATTTTCATGTTATCTCTGACTTTATTTAAACTAGATGTGCCACCTGTGAGAGAAACACAGCACCGTTGTCCTTCTAGAACTGAATGAATATTTCAATTCTAAACCCCCTGGACTTTCTGATCGAGTTCATCTTGTGTGTTTTTGTGTATTCTTTGTCTATATCATGTATTTGCTGTGTTTTATTGTAATGTATTTACTGCAGTGAATCTATTGTCTAGGCCAAGTGACCCAGTGGAAGCTTAGCCAATCATAATAGCATTACTGCCGGCTGAGAAAAGGTGGTTTTGATCAAACGATATTGTTCTGTACATAAGAATGAACATTATTCATGACGTTCGGTGTTTTTGAGCACGTGTTGGACCAGCACTCAGTTAGTTTAGGTCATTAGTGAAAGGAATGCTGAGACCATGACAGGGATTTGGGGAGATTAGTTGACTTAGTGAGCGCGACACCCAGACAGAACAAAAAGTGCAGGACAGCAGAGAATGCAGTGAAAACATCACAGAGCAGCAAAAGAACATCCAGAGCAGCTGAGCGAGCTGCGTGGTGACACCATCAGCAACACTGGACAACATCGTAGTAACATCTGCTGTAATGTACCTGTATGTAAGTAGCCTTTTCTCTGCAGCAAAAGGCTCTGTAGACTAAGCTTTACTTAAGATGTATAAATCTACCATATTGTCTAAATCAGGAGTGAATAATTCAAATCTATTTATTACAGATTAGTTCTCAGGCCTGGCAGGGATTTCCCCAAAGTCCCAGTAAAAAGCGAAAAAAAAAGCTCAGTAATCAAATGTCAGAGCATCCAGATGCCTTCAGAAGACCAGATTCAGAACAGCTTACAAAATAATTCATTGTTATTTATTGCATTTGTTGTCTCATCTTCTGGTGGCAATAAATAAAGAACAAGATGGCCACTGCATAGTGTTGAATGGTAGTTAAAGTCCTGAAATGGACTGTGGACTGTCAAATACAAATAAATAATCATTTGTTTCGCTGATGAATTTACCATCAGGTCTGAATGTCTAAAACTTCCATGAATAGCTAACCTCTTTTCTTTAGATGGCAGAAGTGTGAGACAACAACGAATGGCTTCCACACTGTCTGGCCTCCGTAAGTCTGTTTTTTATGGTTTACTATTCAAAATATTAGACTGAGGACAACATGTGTCAATTCACCACTAGTGCACTACGTACATTTGAGTTTGTGTTACAACAACATATGACTGATACTGGCCAGGTTGTTAACACTTACATTCTAGTCTAGTCAGTGCATATGAAGTAAGATTTCAGATATTGTCGTAAAGAATGATTCACAGCTTGAATTAACTCGTTATAGTACATTATTTATAGAGCTTGTCTGACCAAATCTTAATTCAAAAGTGTTCATTTCCATGTTTGAAATGGCATAATTACTGCCAAAATGAAGATTAGAATTGAAAACTCCATGAACATATGATTTTTAGTGTACTCCATAGCATGTGAAATGGACTCTTCATGTTCAAATTGGTATAGGCAACATGCAACCTAAACTTGGTAATGAATTTAATAATGAGATGTTAACAGTTGGATTTCGCTGTAAGAGCGGAAATACTATCTAATCATACTCTTATCAATATAAAACTAATCGGTATACCTGTCCTTCTCTTTCCAGGCTTCCAGGGGGATGACAACCTCCAGTCCATGCTGGTGGGGACGGTAATGAGGAAAATCAAGTCTCGTACCTGGAAGAAGCAGCGCTACTTCAAACTGCAGGACGACTGTATGACCATCTGGTACACATCCAAGAAGGCTGGCAACACTCACTCCACATGTAAGACCACATGATTTACTCATGTGATGGACCTCTCTGGTCAAACATTAAGACATGACCTGTTAGTAGAGAAAACGAGATGAAGTGCCCTCTAGGTTTCCCTGTTAGTAGATAAAACGAGATGAAGTGCCCTCTAGGGTTCCCTGTTAGTAGAGAAAACAAGATGAAGTGTCCTCTAGGGTTCCCTGTTAGTATAAAACGAGATGTAGTGCCCTCTAGGGTTCCCTGTTAGTAGAGAAAACGAGATGAAGTTGGGACGTTCCAGTAGAGGAAATGTGATTAGACACCCTCCAGGGAGCCTTTCCAGTAGATAAAAAGTGAGAAAATGCTGTTCAGGGTGCTCTTCCAGTTGAGAAAATGTGATTAATATAATTAGGTCTCTATTCTGTGTTGGTCTTTGTGCCCAGTTTCAGTAAGTGATGTGGAGGCAATACGAGATGGACACCAGTCCGAGGTGCTGCTCAGCATCGCTGATGAGTTCCCAGCGGACCGATGCTTCACACTGGTCTTCCGTGGTCGCAGGGGCAACCTGGACCTGGTGACCGAGTCAGCCGAGGAGGCGCAGTCCTGGATCAGAGGCATGAGGAAGCTGATCGAGAACCTGGAGAACATGGGGGAGAGGGAGAAACTTGACCAGTATCTTTCACTCAGGGTTTTCAGTCATCAATGCTTTCAAAGTGTTTGCTGGTTTTCAGTCCAACCAAAGTTGTGGTCATTAGCAAAAGGACTAAATCTCATCAACTAGTCAATAAAGACTGAATTGCAATCATAAATTGTATCCCCATTGTAGCATGGAGTTCCCCACACCTCATGGCCACCTGCCAACTATATATTGATACCTCAGCATCCTCTGAATTATGATCACATTGAAAGATTATGCACCTCATGATTTGTTCCCAGTGCCGATGTTCAGTGCCAGTGTACAAAGTAGTGTGTCATGTGGTGAGGTGGAAGGTAAGGCTGTGGAGGTCAGGCTGGACAATGGGCACATTCACTTCCTGTCAAAGACCAACAATTAATGTGAGATTGAAAACATTAGATCAAATTAAATAAAACATAGAAAATTGGTACAAATGGTTCCCAGAGCACCTTCTTGTTAAATGCATCTTTTGGGTTCTTGATACAGTCAGAGCTTAACTGCGATACATATTAAAGAACTGAGTAAATATACAGTAAAGTTGATTGTGCAGTGTGTCAGTCTTCATCAAGTATCTCTTCCAAAGCTCTTAGAATTTTTCAGCCACTATTGAATGTGACACTCCTGAAGTGGCCTACCCAGATGGATTGGTGACTGGTTCAGGAAGGCAGACAAGAACAACGATGGCAGGATGAACTTCAAGGAAGTGCAAGACTTACTGAAAATGATGAATGTGGACATGAACGAGCACCACGCTCACCGTCTCTTCACAGTGAGAGCCTTCGAGCTGAATACCTAAACTATGGTTTCGCTTGTGATTGAAGCATTCCACATCTACTATTTGGTTTCTATGGCCGCTGTAAGACCTCTTGGGTTGTGATGCATTTATCCATACAGCAACAGCATGATCCTTTCTCTTCTCAGATGGCTGATAAGTCCCAGTCGGGTACACTGGAGGACGATGAGTTTGTGCTCTTCTACAAGATGTTGACCCAGCGGGATGATGTACTGAAGGTTTTCCAGGAGTACTCGGTTGATGGCCAGAAGTTATCCCAAAGTGACTTGGAGGACTTTCTGAGAGAGAAACAGCTGGACGGGGTTGACATCCAGCAGCATGCCAAGCAGCTCATTGAGCGCTACGAGCCGTCTGACACAGGTACACAGCCTGTATGTTGTATATAATGAACCATGGTGTACGATTATTGTGAAGGCCTGTCACTTGGTACTGAAGTTTGGGTGCCAGCACTATGTGAGGAGGGTCTGACACACCCCTGCTGTATTTCCAGCTAAGCTGCTAAATGCCATGACATTTGACGGCTTCTTGATGTACCTCGGCTCAGCTGAGGGGTCCATCTTCAACCCACAGTGGCGGGGTGTCTTCCAGGACATGAGCCAGCCGCTGTGCCATTACTTCATCTCCTCCTCCCACAACACCTACCTGATGGAGGACCAGCTCCGAGGGCAGAGCAGTGTGGAGGGATACATCAGGTGATGGAAATTAACCGATGGAAATGTCTTTGGGATGTTCCAGTGACCACAATAAGTGCCCACTAACAGCAAAACGTGCATTTGCACATCGAATACTGTAACTGGTGCTGGAAGATTACTTAAAAGAAATCCTAAAATAAAAGTGCCACCTGGAACCGAAAATGGTTCTTCGGAGGGATGCCATAGAAGAACCATTTCTGGTTCCACAAAGAATCTTTCAGTGCCTTTCAAATTAATTATTAATTAATTCATTTTGCGTCCTAGAGCACAACTTAACCTTTACAGGGACAGTGGTATCTTTGGTATCCACATGCACACCAACATCCATAAATCTGCTGGGAAATCATAAAAGGAGACTTATAATTGATTGCAGGACAACTAAAGGAACGCCACTGCAACTATCACCTAACCATTTCCAAATCCACTTACGAACCAATTTTATAGATTTCCATCAGCGCAAATCCCTTACCTAATGTGTTCCTCTCAGGGGTGATGAGCTTCACTGAGACATTGCCCTGCATTTATCTTCCACCATTCATTAATTTTACAAAATTCATCAACAGAATAAAGTCCAATTCTTCCTAAGTGATTCATTGAAATTAATCAAGCTGTAAACGTAAGTCTGATAATGCCATTAACAAATGAATTCAACTGGTGGCCAGTAGATGTTCTGCCATCCTGTGAACCTGAGTAAAAAGATAATATAATGAATAAAAGACGCAATTTGTTTTGCTGCTCAGGGCTCTGAGTCGTGGCTGTCGGTGTGTGGAAGTGGACTGCTGGGATGGTGCCAATGGAGAGCCCATCGTTTATCATGGACACACCTTCACCTCCAAGATACTCTTCAAGGATGTAGTCAATGCAGTGAGCAACTATGCCTTCAAGGTAGCATCCACTGTCTTGTTGTATCACTCAATTGATTGCTGAAGTGTAGAAGTGGATGTGAATCAATCAAAACATCTAGTCGTAAGCTTTGCAATAAATAGCAATATTCTGAATGTTGGCTTTCTGATGTACTCGTCCTTCAGTGGATCATGTGGTAAACAACATAGTTCTTATTTTTGAAGACATTTTTTCACACCCTCAGCCCGATTGGGGAGATGATCACATTGGTCCAAATGGGGCTTTTTCAAGTATACCAAGCATGTGGTGTAATCCCCTCTTGCTGGCATTGCAATTGCTTTTGCTTTGATTGTCTAGTAAAGCTGTATCAACAAATCGCTCAGCTTCTCATTGTACATTTATGAGAGGGAGGACAACAGTGCAATGATATCCAAGACATCATGTGAAAGCCCTATGAAGTCAGCTAGCCAGGGATCTGCTAGAGTGCCAGCCTCATGCCAGAGTGAACATGCATGACAGAGCCTGTTGGGTCTGAGCATCTGTCCTCAGTGAATATTGAGGCCTCATGACCCCTTGTCTGAGGTCTTTCAACCAGCCAGCCACAACCCACAGGTATATGGCAGCAGGCGTATTAGCTTTCCCTATGATAATGCTCTCCAGTGTTCAATTACAAACTCCCTCCCTTCATCCCCCCTCCTCTCCCCCACCCAGATATCGGAATATCCAGTCATCCTGTCCATCGAGAACCACTGCAGTGTTGAGCAACAGAGAGTCATGGCCCGACACCTCAACCACATCCTCGGTGACAAGCTGCTGAAAAGCACACTAGACGGCAAGGCCCCCGTCGGGCTGCCATCTCCTGAGGTGAGCAGTGCAGTCTAATGTCTCAACCCTACTCCACTCTACGTGGTTACATTTGGGTATCTGGAGTGCCTACTAACCCACAAACTCGGTATCGCAGTTTTCTCAGGCTACCTAGATCAGAAAACATGTGATTCAACAAGCCAATCAGATTTGGCTCCCCTTATGATGTGCGATGCAGGCTCATGGAATGAGAATACATTCATTAGAATGTACCGGCCACAGCTTGAGAACTATACCTTTGCAAAGGTGCACTATATTTTTCTCGCAAGCCAATCAGAGCAGACTGGGCTTTTCCTAGAGAGGCGTTAAAACGAAGCATTTCAGACAGACAGTGTGAGAAAAAGAAAGTGGTTTTTTTACATTAAACTTGTAAACACGTTCCAGTAGAAACCCAAAACAAAAACGTATGAACCTGGAAGTAAACTTGCAGATGAAGACTTGGAGGCACCTACACACACAACGTTACATCACCTTTACTGTGTGAGCCAGTATATACATGTAAGTAGTATTCATTGAGTTATGTCTCAAAACTGTTATGTTGCACTTGTTTATCTAATTAGCAAGAAGAACTGAAAGAAAATCTGTGGGTGTACAGAGCCTTTTAAATGCAGCTCATTTCTGTTCTTTAATTGAAACCGATCCTTTTTGATTTGAGCCTGTCAGAGGGCACCTTCGCTTTCACCCCAAAGCATGTCAGAGCCTCCTGGGCCATATGATCTGTGTTGAACACATTGTGAAATGACCCAAGGTTTATTTGATCTCTTTGTCAGGATCTTAAGAGGAAGATTCTCCTGAAGGCAAAGAAAATCGGTGGTCTGGAGGAGAGTTTCAACGGGATGGTGGAGGACTCTCAGACCGGAGAGGTCAGCGATGAAGACGAGGTGGCTGAAATCAACGAAGATAACCTCCACCGCGAGAGTGTCTGTCGCAGGGTAAAGGTAGGTCAGCTTGTTTAGCACACGCCGGTACACCTGTTAGGCCTCAGACCCAGACACCCTATTATACACAGTCTGATGAACCAGCCTGGTATAGAAGCAGGATCCTCTATTTCCGTCCTTTTTAGGCTGATGATGCAACATTGAGACAGATTTCAATGTATGAATAGAACACTTAATAGATTAAGCTGACTAACCCAAAATGAGGGCAGATTAAATGCATCTTGTTGATTGCAGTTGGTAGAATGTTTTTTTGCAGCGCAGTCCAGGTTATTTACTAAACTCTTTAGACTTACAACTGTGGGATGGACTAGAAGGTTGCCTGTTTGAATCCCTGAAGCATTCTGAGACCAGTTAATGACTTTCACCTCCTTCAAAACCAATGCCACTGAACCTGCTTTCTTTTAGGAGCTCTGGCAGGTTGGACCTCAGCTTTGTCTTTATTTACCAAGAGGTAATTCTGGTACGTCCATTCATTGTATTCATCAATGCACTGACAAAGGCTCAATCCCAGATACCTTCCCTTTGAGTACCTTCAACTGGGTAGTGGCCCTTCAGAACGGATCCACGAGGGATAGTGGTTGAAATCCTTACCCAGGAAATGGGACACCATTCGTTACGTCATGAGTAGCCGATTAAATTATAAATTATTGTTAGCCTATAGACATTTCTGCCCTGCGCTGATTAGCTGGGAAATACAGAAACTTCGCTGCTGTTGTAACTGTGTTTTGTTAAACACAACATACAGTACACATTTACTTTAGCACATAACAGTCAACTTGACTACATGACAAATATGTCTATCTTTTTGGTGTGTGTTGGTAGTGTACGTTTAGCAGGAAGCCTCTCAGGGATGCCCACAAATCTGGTTGCCTTTTTAGCCAGCGGACAAGGATTGCAAGAACTCCTGTCATTCCTCATGAAAAATACAGAGGATTTAAGGGCAGGGAGCAGACTCTGGGTGTTAGATATGGTGATCTGTTTACACTGTGATAGCAGAGAAAGACACAGGGAGGAAAGAGTGAACGAGGATTCAACACTGTCAACCACTCGTGACCCACAGTCATCCAGATCTGAACTTTTAAAACTTAAACAAACACATCAACTCTTACTTAACTCAAGGAAACACATCTTCCACCACTGGACAAGTCACATATACAAGTAGACACGACAGATAGAGAAGGACGAACAAGAGGACCTCATAGTTACTGTCAAACAAGACCAAGACCAAGCCATGCTGGGCCAAACTAGGCTAAGTTCAGCAGGTGAAGGTTGTACGGTCTCCTCTAAAATGGGATATTTGATACCCTGAACAGTACTAATTGCAGTCAGTAATCACCTCTGTTGGTAAATACTGAGATGTAAGTAGGGCTAGAATGTGATATCAAGTATCAACTGTTGCAAATATTTCACTGGGTAATTACATTTTAACAGAGGTTCTTAAAATACTTATAATTAATAAATCACTAAACAAATCAAACAGTCATTTGACCTAGCAGCTTGATACTGAACATTTTAAAACACAAATTAAAAAGCCAACCCTTATATACTGTATCAGTACAACTGAAACTCATTAGCGAGGTTCTCGAAGTCCAGAGGCTTTTTTTGTCAAATTGCATCATTTCAAATAAAATGTGCATCAGGCACCTTAATTTGCGGACTGGATCAACGTATTTTGACAAAGAACCTTTTAACTGAAGGTCCACTTTCAAGCTTTTTCTGGAGCTTTCTACTGAATCTTGCTTTCTTCATCAAGACGTGGAGTTTGCTCGTCCTCGTTCAGATGGACTTTAGGCCTGTGTGGGGGGGGCTCTGGCTCATCAATTGTTGCAACGCAACACAACAGCTTCCGGCAAGTTGCTGCATTGGCCAATGAGTTGGGTTTTCATTTTGAGTTTTGAGAAAGCTGGGCCGGGGGAAAAGTTCTTGTTCCAGCTCTGATGAAGGTTGAACTTTGTCCTTCTGTTTTCATACCACTGCATCACAGGGAACACATGCTGCTCCTTTTTATTCCCCTGATTGCTGTGTGTACTGTATCTGTAAAATGGATTCATATTGATGGCACAGTCTTGAGTGCATACTGCATTAGAGGATAACGCTTGATGTCTCTGGCAAACTAAGTGTGCAAAAGGAATCATTGGGCACTTAGAGTCATGTTTATTGATAAGCATTTGAGAAGCATGAAACACCACACTGGGACTCCTGTCAACACGGTCATGAGAGGTGAGGCCAGCGGCGAGTTTGGCAGCGATGTGAGCTCGCCGGTGCCCCTGCTGATGGTGTAGGTGTCTGCGCAGAACCTGTCTTGCTGTCTGGTAGATGGGTGAAGGTGGAGCAGCCGGATCGGCTTTCATGTGGAAGCAGGCAGGCGTGCATGCAGGGGTGCTCTGCAGGTTACGCTGTCATTGGGCTGTTTGGGATGCCACACCTCGGATCTCATAGTCATGGAAGCTACTCTGGCAGCACACCTGCTTTTGCTTGGCATTGTGGTCGAGTATCACTTTCACGATTCAAGAGGGGGTTGTCTCAGGGTTTCAATGTGCCCGGTGCTTCCATCCATGACAGGATTCCTTTGCATCACCGGGGTTTACCCTCTCACGTGGTGGTGGGTCAGCTGACGTTACACGGAGCCAGTTCATGGGTCGACCTCAATGAGCCTCATGTGACTTCAATGTGTTAACGACCCAAAGATGTTCAAATACCTCTTTGTGTCATTGCGTTTGGACCTCTTCCTACAAGTGAGCAGAATTATGAAACTTCTTTAAGTTGCATCTTCGTTCTAGACCTACACTACACTATTACCAAAATACCAGGTACTGAGTAGTATCGAAATGTCTCCAGTCAAATAATACCTGCAATCAATCCTTTCTGTGGCCAGAGGAAAAAAAACAGCACTAAACAGCATGCTTCTTTGACTAGTGGAATGTCGCCGCTGATCATCTGGCATATCTGGCATTAAAATTAAAAATGGTATTTCATTCATGCTCCACTGCTACACAGCACTCCACTCTGGCATGCAGTACACCTGCTGACTATTGGTATGCCAGTGCTGCATGCCAGCTCTGTCCCACTGACAGATGCCGGTTTTGACTAGCAAGTACGTACCATGTTAATCTCTTAGCCTATGCCATAAAATGATACATAGGCAGCTGTCTGATGGGACAAACACAAGTGGTTGATAAGCTGGATGTGGCCCTGGATAAAGTCTACCAACAAGTTCTCCAAATGTAACAACAAAATGTATTGTTGGTCCTTCTCTGATCTGGCGTCCACGTCAGGAGGACGATGTCATTTGTCTGTGCCTCCGAAAACCATTTCATGATGGGACGTTATAATAAGCTATATGCATTAATCAGTGTGTTACCTTTTTATCCCCTCTCTTCCTTTTTCCACAGAAGTCAAAGCAGCGTCTGTCCAAGGAGCTGTCCGACTGTGTTGTTTACTGCAAAAGCGTCCACTTCAGTAACTTCAAACACTCCCGCATCCACTCCAAGTTCTATGAGGTGGCCTCTTTCACGGAGTCCAAGGCCCGCAAGCACCTGAGAGAGGCTGGTGAGTCCAGCCTCATCATTCCTCTCTGCTTTACATGATTATGATAGGTACTGTCAACACAAAGGTTTGACTAATACAGTGTAATCTGAGATTTTAGTTTTATCGACATCAGATTTTGTCTCAGTTTTTAGAAGCAGTAATACATTTTGTGAAGCAATTAATACTCTAGTCATTCTTGTGCTGGTTTATTATTGACACAATATTATGTATCAGGGGCTTCAGTCAAACCCTATTTGTCAACTTTCACTATCTGATGTCATCTCCATTTCAGGGACCGAGTTTGTGCACCATAACTCCCGGCAGCTGACCCGGGTTTATCCCAGTGGCTTCCGAACGGACTCCTCCAATTTTAATCCTCAGGAAATGTGGAATGCTGGGTGCCAAATTGGTGATTGCAACTGAAATACAGACTTGACTGTTTTCTAAAGCAGACCTCCATCCATTCATTATTTGCATTTCTGTCGTATTGTTTTTACTATTATTGCTGCACGGGGCTACGGTTTGCATAATTATTTATTCTTCACTTAAATGGGTTAAGAGGCGAGTTTGGCAATACAATTTACAGCAAAAAGAATTGTAGTTCCCAAAACGTTTGACTGTTTGAGGGCTTGGATAACAGAAAGAGTCACATAGAACCTCACCACAGCACTAGATAGCCAATATAATAACTACCTAACTATAATATCAAGGCATAATTCTGGCTTTAGGACTCAAAGCAGTTTAGATTATGGCTAACAAGCAACTTCCCATACAACTAAACTTCTCAATTCCATTTTAAATATGTCAGTTTTGACTTTTGGTTTCATACGGGACAACAACAGCATTCTCCTGGGTGAAGGTCCTGTGTTGACCCATCCGATCCACTCTGCCCTACTCTCTGTGCAGACTTACACAGACTATGATTAGAAAGGAATTTGTCATCTGTCAAAAACAAACGCAGTTTGGGAGAAATCTCAATTCACTGTTTGCTCTAGTGTAACTGTTTACTATTAGAGAGAGAATGAGGAGTGACAGTTTTGGTCTCGGTTAGTATTGACTCATAGTTGACTGAACTGTCTCTCTCAACATGGGGCGCTGTCCATGGCAATAGCTGATAGGTTAGACTTCTGTCAGTGACAACAGATGCAAATAAGTTGTGATGTGATAAAAGAAGACACAGGAAAGGAACATAATACAATTGAAACATATCCTTAAATACAGGACATGTCATCCCCAGTGGACTAAGGTTATTGGTGTACTACCAAATCCTCCTCTCCACTATTAAAGGACGAGTCGCTCCTTTCCCGGGAACATGGAAAGGATCGGTGTCTGAACCACGCAGCCAACAGGAGTTCCACACGGCTTCGTCCTGGGACCTCTCCCTCTTTTAATATGTCCTTGTGTAGAGGGCAAAAGGAAGTTCCCGTACAATTAAACTGCATTGTCAATAACGTTTTGAGTGTCCACCTGGGGACAAGGGAATTCTTTCTTTTAGACATGTGGTTAATGTTGTAAATTGAAGCAAAACAAAAACTCATGGTAATTTATGCATGGTTATGTTCCCTTCGGTATTGTTCATGTATTGAAGTACAAATCCAAGCCCCGTGCAGCATTAACAACATCCTCTCAAAGTGCCTGAATATGGTATATCTAAATTTAATGGCAAGAGCATGAGTCAAAAAGTCATTGTTGTTGTTTTTTTCCATTTCATTCAGTTGCGTTGAATTTCCAGACAGCCGGGGAGGGGATGGATCTGAACGACGGACTGTTTGGTCAGAATGGCAGCTGTGGCTATGTCCTCAAGCCCAGTTTCATGAGAGAGGTCGAGAAAAGATTTGACCCTGAGACACCCGAACAAAGGGATGGCTACCAACCTGTCATCCTCACTATACAGGTACAGACCTTTAACAAAGTAAGAAAAAGGTGTCCCTGCAGTTAATAGCTGTTTCATGGCTTTATTGAGGAAACCGTATTTATGTGTTTAAGGTGATCAGTGGTCAACAGCTGCCCAAAGTCAACATCAAAGAGGATGCCATCGTGGATCCTCTGGTCAGAGTGGAGATCCATGGTGTTCCTATGGACCAGGCCAAGCAGGAGACCAGATACATCGAGAACAATGGTGCAGTAGAGGCTGTGGGCCCTTACACTTACCTACATAGACATCAATGCAGGAGGGAACTAGGAAGGTGCTCTCAGTGGAGAGAGTACAGACCACATAATATCTTGCCAAAAAATAAATTAAACTCACAAAGCTATCTGCCCGTTTAGCAGCAATGTACTCAGCAGAGTGTGTGCTTGTAGTTCCGTTAGCTGTTAGTGGTTTTACGAGGTACTTATCCATAGTCAGCATATTACCTATGGTGGTCGGCACGCCTTCAGTTTGGAGAAACAGACAGGAGAACGAGAGCAAAGCAATGCACTGCTGTGAACAAGGGCAGCAACAAAATGTATTTTTGACACCTAAAAGAAAGACCAACCTGAAAAAAATCTATATATATATATATATATATAAATATTTAGAATATTTCATGCTTAATCTTAATCTAACGGGGAACAGAACGGAAAGTGGATCTTATTTATTCTCTGTTCAAAGTCCTAAGACTCCAAAACTAAATCTCCAAAAACAGTATAAATAAGTTTAACTTTTACTTCAGTACTCTGTCAGAAAATATTCTAAACGTAGCGTACACTAAAGCTTTTTTAGGTGTCTAAAATACATTTAACTGCTGCCCCTGTTCACAGCACTACATTGTTTTGCTCCCATGCTGGTACTGCTGTCTGTCCCACCTCAAAACACACAAAATATTTTGCCGTTTTTGCCAATTAGCCATGGACAGACACCTGCACTCTCAGTCACTCACGCATGTGACCGGTCGTAGATCCTCCTGGTGGAGATGATGAATGGATGAATGGGTCACTTTGGTGTCGCGCCACACATAGTTAGGACTTGTCTCTGCAGCATGCGCGCTGATGTTGAAGGATTTGTCCTTTGTGCAGGATTCAACCCGGTGTGGTATGACACTCTGCGCTTCACCATCCACACTCCGGAGCTGGCCATGGTGCGCTTTGTGGTGGAAGACTACGACAAGACCTCTAAAAATGACTTTGTGGGGCAGTACACACTCCCTCTCGGCTGCATGCAGCAAGGTGAGGCCCCTTCTTTAACTTCCAGCGCACATTGATACATAGTACATTTACAGTCAAATTATTTGCTAATTTCTGTTTATAATTTCCTTAAATATATATTTCGCAACCTTGCACAGAGAAATCTGTTATGAAAGAGGCGGAGATATACATTTTCCCACAAAGAATAGCTGAACACAGCGGAGCGTTTAGCAGCTAAACATGTATTCTTCTCAGGAGATGGTGGAGACCAAAACTGAGCTCAATGAGAGTTTACATTGGACTTACATTTACCAGGTGAACACAAACACAACTCCAGATGAATGATGATGTTGCTCTATGTCTGCTGGATGTGGAAATAATGTTATACGATCACTCATAATCTCATTTAGACACTTGTTAGCAACCGCCTTTTTTAAGACACGTGAAAGCTTCTAAATTTGCCAAGTTTGCCGTTCTGCTGCCGCTCCCGCTCCACGTTTGACTTTGTGTGTCCTCTTAAAGAAATAAATAATCCCTCTGGTTCTGTTTTGTGTTCTCAGGTTATCGTCACATTCACCTGTTGTCCAGAGATGGAACCGGTATTCCTCCTTCCTCCTTATTTGTACACATCAGGATCACGGAACTGGACTAATCCTTCTTGGCTTCCCGAACACACAGAGGTATTGGAAAGAACCTCCCCGGCACATGTTATGTAGTTATGAGAGTAGAGTCATTCCTTCCTTAGAGAATACTAATAGCTCCTAAACTAGTATTTTATTCTTATTTGATGTGAATAAATATTATGCCAAATCTTCTAGAGGTCCTTTAGGCAGCAGATGGATATGCGATCTGCATGTTTTCTGTTTTGCTCACTATAGTGTGTGTAACTTGTCCCTGTGATTGACTTGAACTTTGCTGCTCATGTTTGCTGTACTGTGTCCGTAGCACAAGTATTTGTTTCTGTTGAAATGTTGTGTTGTAGAGAAGAACGTGCCACCAATGTGTTTGGATCAGGATGTATATACTGTATATCCTGTCAGTATTTCCCTTTAACCCACAGCACTTCATCATCACTGTGTGACCGCTACAGTCCTCAGCTTTCACTGTGGCCAACATGCAAAGCTCCAGCTACACAGACAGCATCATAGTCTCCTGTTTGGAACATGTAAGAGGGGGAACAGTGTTTGTAAAGTATACTACAATATTACATTTGTCTTGATATCGCCGTTATTATAGTGTTCAGTCATGTTCCTCTGTGCTGCTACAGACGTTTGTCTCAAAATCTCAAAGTACCATAAATATTTAACATAGGTGTAAAAACAGTATTCTTTACAGTGTAAGAGGTTTATAATTCAGAGGTCAAATAACCTGTTTAGATTATTAGACACTACCAGAAATGACTTGAAAGACAACCATAAACTAAAAGAAGATGCACCTTAAATGTACCTTTGTGTTCTTCACAGGGTTGAGGATGTTGAGCTTCAGCAGCTGGAACTATATACAGAGTAGCACAGAGGTCCTGGTGACAACTTGCAAAACAAATAAATTAAAATTAATAATTTAGGCCAAAAACATCATCCTGTTTTCTCAGATTTGAAACTGTCAGTCAGGTGTTTATTGGTTCACACCTTTGATTTAAAGAAATGGTTATATTTGCACTGTCTACTGCACATTAGTTCAGTAGAGGCTTCATAGGGACCCGGTGTAGGAATGGCTGAACCAGTAAGTTAAATATACTGTTTCAGAACGTCGTCCCTCCACAGTTTAAATTTTTTCATTTTTATAGTTCATTCTCAAATTGATTAAACACAAATGTAAGTTTACCAAATTGTAAATCGAATGCTTTACAAACATCTGAACGCCACGCCATGGATGTAGGCCTATGGATTCTTTTCATAATGTGCTTTCGTTGAGAGAAGGCACGCTTCACTTCAGCAACCCCTCCTCACTTCCTCTTTCTTATGTTTACTCTTCTCTGCTGTCCACTGAGCAGCTGCAGTGGAGCAGCTGGAGGTTGAAGCTCTGGGACATTATGACGCCTCCCAGTGTTCCCAGTCGCATCCTGCGGCTGCTTGTCTGCTCTTTCCACTAACACCAGACTCCTTTGCATGTCGGCCCTTCAGAAAAAGCTAAAGTGACTGTAGTGAAGCTCTCTTGATTTGCATCCATCTCCAGCTAAAGAGTGACAGGCTGCTCAGTACTCATGAGTAGTCTTGTGTCATCTGATGTTATTTTATGGTATGTACATATTACCTGTTTGTGTAAATGTGTTTTGATATGTCTATTTTTGTATACTTGGAAACCTTCATATGTACTGTACAGCATAGCACATTGTAGTGTTTTTTTTTTTTTTTTAATTGTAGAATACCTTATTTTCATTTGCCATTCCACCTGCAAATAAATATGATTTTCACTTCATGATGCAACTATTTCATCCTTCATACTGAAGTAAGTGCTCTTCTTATCAACTCAGGGGACAAAGCACAGAAATCAGTTGGTTTTCCAGCCACTCAAACAAATATGTATTTTGAGCAATTTCAGGTGCAAAACAGACTTGTATTTTTCCGATAGCCTATCTAGTGGTAGATAATATGCTGCTGATATCGATGTGACCAGTTTATCAAATAATTTAAAGCAATAGTAAATAAAACCAAATAGTTTGAGACCGGAACAATATGGCGATTCATCGGAGGCGGAACTTTCTCTCTGTGTCGTTTTCCACCGAACCACTAAACCGGAACACCATTCACGCTTGTCATGACAACAACATCAAGTTTCCCGGAGTATAAACATGTATTTCCGGAATTTACTTTCAGATTAAAACAGTTATTAAGACATTCATGTGCTACGTACAGGTGCTTTAAGAAATGATTCCCAAACTGAAAAAAAAACTTGGGCTCATGAGTGGTACAGTAGTTAAATGTTTAAATTAAACTGTATTTTTCTCCCAAATGTCATATTTCTCAGAATAGCATAGCAATAGCTACTAGACACATATCATTAAGACATTAACGTTAAGATGTAAGCAAAAAAAAAAAGAAAAAAACTCAAACGTGATGACGTCTCTCGTGGATAATCCAAACCACGGCCGTCGCTAGAAGCGAAACATTTGCCAAGAGTGGTAAAACTGAGATTTGACATTTACATTTGAAAGTAAAACAGATTCACTTCCGGTGGTAGTGGCGCTCACTTGATAACGTCACACGCTGTCGACACCGGGGAGCACCATTACAACGGATTGTGTGAAACACCGTAGGTTCGCTTCTATATAAAGTTTCTTACGCGTTTGTGGACATGGTTGGAAAGATAAAACACGTCCGTCAGAAGCTCCACCAGGAGGCGGTGAGGCTCGACAGGCCGGGCAGCCTCACACAGACCCCCGGCTCCGCGTTCCCTCCGAGTTTAGAGAAGCCTCCTGCATCGGAAGTACACAAAACAAGCGCTCCATGTCTGGGGAACACGAAGAGCAACCCCTCGACCAATAATGAACAGGTTTGTTGGAAGAATTGCCCGATGAATACACAATATATTAGTTGAATATCGGTCGGTCAATATGTTTTACCGTCCGGTTATATCAGCAAATAAAAAGAGCCTGTAGAACCCCGGTGGTTCCGTTACCGTAGAAGTAACAGTGATGTAGCGGGTGTTTCATTAATAACGGCGGCTTTACTTTGAAGTCTCCCCGTCAGTTCATCAGAACCAGAAGGCTGACGTCACCGGATCCAGAGCAGTGACGTCATGGATATGGTGCTCATTGCTATGATAGACACAAATGAAGTGCCAGTAAATTGACTATAAAATTAAAACAATGCCATTGCACATCATTTTGGACCATTATTGTAGATAATGCCCCAAAAGCTTAAAGACAAAACTTGCTATAGTTAAATAACTATTTTATTTGTTTACACATATAGCCTTGGTCTGAACATTTCATTCCCCTGTAAATGTTTTCCTGTAAAATCATATTCAGTAAACCAAAAGAGCAGATTCATAAAACTTGTAATAATAATGTTTCATTCATTATATTTATTCAGAAATAAAACCCGGTTGTGGACTTGTGCTCTGACCCCTCGCAGCCTCTGAGAGCCATCTCCTTCCCCTCTGGGATCTTTGCTGGCACCAGGATCAGCCCGGAGGCCCTGGTACAGACGCTGAGGTTTGAGGAACCTCCAGACGAACCGGTACCGGCCCACAAAGGTAACACACTCAGACCGAGGGTCAGGCTGTCTGTGTGCTCAAAGAAAAATACAATATTAACGTGATATCAATATTTCACTTTTGAATATCATGCTTATCGTCGATACATATTCCCCCTTGAAGTCAATGGCGGTGAAGCAGTGATCGGCTCAACCGGTTCCATCCAGCTTACGGGGGGGGGGGGGGGGGG